CCCTCGTGTGTGTGTAGGTGTGTGTGTGTATGTGTTTGTGTGAGGATAGCAGCACAAACTGTTTAGCACAGAGATGGAGAGTTGATGATATGGGCTTTGCTTTGGCCTTTCTATTGACCATAAACTAATCTGTAAACAAAGCATTCTACATTCAAAAGTGGGCTGATCTGCTCAAAAGCTAAAGCGTGGGACCAATTCATCAATATAATGACCTCAGACAGGGCTAAAATGATTCATCAGATTAATGATGATGAATCGATTACTGAAATCATCGTCTTAAAAAAGACATTAGCTAAAGAAAGCCAAATTAAGCCAAATTTTCTTCAAACCTTAAGCCAAAACTCATTAAGTGGCAGTTTTAGCATCTGAAAAAAATCTGTTAAGCATCTTTTGCAATATAATTATTAATCCATTAATCCAAAAACTCTCACCATATCAGCCACACCATACTGACGTTCAGTCCAGCAGAAAGGACAGAGCTTTTCTCATGTTGATGTTAGAAGGAGTTTTAGCTGCAGATGCTTCCTTTACTACAAATGATCGAGTGTTCTCTAAAGAAAAGCTGTTATTGCATTTTAGGCAATGAAATGTTTCCTGTTTTATTTAAAATTAATTAAATTAGTTATTTAAGTGCCATTTTTAAAATTCCTTACATGCCATAAGGACACTACTGTCTACATGGACTTATTGACTTGCAGGTAAGTGTTTTCGAGTGACATTTAAGGGGTTATTGTATTCCTATTATTGTATAAAAAAGACTTAAGTGGCTAGATTAAAAAAATCTGCAGAATGAGAATTTTTTAAATCTGATTAATCATTAAAATCGACAACTAGAATAATTGTTAGCTGCAGCCCTAATCCCAACCACAGCTAATCTACAGCAGAATGAGTGAAGAAGTTGATTTAAATGGTCAAATCAGAAGTGAGCTGGGTCAACCATTCTAAACTTCCTGTGTTTAAACCACAGCATCTGACCCTGCTATGCTGTCAGCATGTGTGTGCTCTCACCTGGATCTCTGTGTCATCAGAGGAGCTGAGCGGTAGGAGGCGTGCAGTGAGGAGAGACTGCAGCTGGATGGTGTTGCAGCTGGCCGTTACCACGTGAACCACCTTCACACCGGACGCTCTAAGTCCACGACTCTGCACACACTGCCGCCTGGAGCTGCCTTTGTAGGCCAGCACATACCTGGACAGGTGCAGAGGGAAGTCAGGGGTTTGTTGTGTACGAGTGAGGGAGAGAGACAGCGAGGGACAGTGAGGGGACAGTAAGGGACACACCTCAGCAGGGGGTTCTCGATGATCTGCAGTTTGCGTTTAAATGTTTCCAGCTGGTCGTAGAGCTTCAGGCCCTCCACCATGGACACATTGTCTATCTCTGAGTCTGAATCGGCGCTCAGTCCGCCACGCAGCTCTGAAAACTGCTGGAAGCACTGGGAGCAGCTCTGCAGCAAGGACTGGTACTCTGCCACCAGGCCAGCTGGGACTCTGTCTTCCAGGATGTCATAGTAGCTGCAAGAGGACATCAGCATCAACTAGGGCTGGACAACAAACCAATAACAAAATATATATGTGATCTACATCAACAGATAATATGTCTGATAGAATTTTTCATAATTTCACTGAACTCCAATCCAAAACCACACAGCATTCTGAGCAGAAGAAAAGCTAGGAATGATGAGCTAAGCAAAGTTGGTGGGATCAACTAACTAACTAACTAACTAACTAACTAACTAACTCACTCACTCACTCACTCACTCACTCACTCACTCACTCACTCACTCACTCACTCACTCACTCACTCACTCACTCACTCTTTGGTTACCTAGCAACAACCTGTTGATCAACATACATGGTAGCAGTTTCTTGTTTTGCTATGGTGCCTCATAAAACTGAAAACTGTGGCTAAAACAGGAAAGATCACATCACCAGTTTGGGGGTATATTTCAAATATTAAAAAAATAAAACTATTTATCCATTTTGACTGATATAGAATGCTTATATCGCAAAACGTTTTTCAGTCATATTGTCCAGTCTGAGCATCGACCTTCACATTCCAGAAGTTCAAGTTCTGCTTACAGTCTGAGACGAGGTTCCACACAACGAACAAAGTAGTCAAAGTCATCGTTCTCATCCTCTTCATCCCACTGCCTCCAGATGTGTTTGTAGAAAAACCTGCAGACACGAGAAGACTCTTAGTATTGTTCTGCAGTACATCAGTCAGATCCAATTCAGAGCACCCTACCTTAAGTGCTCAAGAGTGAGCGCCGTCTGGTCAAAGTCCCCTGACTCATTGTAGAGGACCTGCAGCTCCAGCAGGGGAACTTTGTGCTGAGTCGCCTCCAGCAGAGAATTAAAGGATTCCTCTGTTATCTCACAGCTTCTGATTTCACACTGCAGAGGCAGCACCAGCTTCACACATGCCTTGAGGTCGTTCAGGTCCAGATCTCGCACCTGAACTCACCAACAGAATCCCACAAACATGACTGTTAGCAGCTCATTTAGACGGCTCATTTAGCCGTCTAAATGAGCTGCTCCTACCTCCACCACCACATCAAAGACGTCAGTGCTCCACAGAGCCAACCAGTCACACGGCTCCATCGCCTTGTCCAGGTAGTCTGCTGTGAAGGCCTTCACCTCTGAGGGCTTACAGTCTCCTGCACATCAACAAACATGTGGCATTAAATAACTAAGAAACATGGCGGCCAGACTGTGGTGGTGTCAGAGTTACCCAGCATGTAGTCCTGATACGCCTTAAACCTCTCGTAGAACAGCAGGCTGCCGGTCTGGAAGGTGTCGGGCAGACTGGAGCTTCCACCTCTGTGCTGCTCGCATCTCTGCAGCTGAGTCCCCGACTTCTCACTGCTGAAATGATCTGTGCCACTGTCGTCATCACTGTCCTCTCCACTGTCCTCATTTAGACTCAGGGCTGTGGAGGGCGAATCACATTCATTTCATTTTCATTTAATTCATTTGTTTATTTAATTTATTTATAACTTAAAATGAGGATGTCACATAAAAGCAGGCAAAAGTTTTGAATGAAGAGTATTTTGAAGAAAAATACTCTGCTTCCCCTTCTCTCAAAAGTCAATTCACATAAACAACTTAACATCAATCAACCATCAATATACATCTTTAATCTTTATGATCATCACTATGCTACCACAAAAAATTGAGATAAGATTCTAGGTCTATATTTCACACCCATATCAACATGACTTAAATAATTTAGACTTTGCAATTTGCTGGCTTGAAATTGACCTCTACTCTTTCCAACACTGCCCTTCAGCTCATCATTGCAACAATGCTCCTCAAATGAGATGCTTACAGGTGTTCTTAGGAAGCTTTGAAGCTAATATAATAAGCTCAGAAGATGTGCAGTTCTACCATGTGTTTACTAATTGCTGCTGCTGCTAGTCTGGAGGAGTAGCCTTTCCCCCTCACCCCCCTTACAGAGGGGGTCGGAAACTGGGATTGGGGACTTTGATTGGAGGACAAATGATTAGGAACCTCTGAATGGCTAACAGGGGAAATTAGAGGATTTCTCAAACATGCATGAAAGAATCAAAGTGGCAATCCAAATTTGTTTTTGATGAGGGAATAACATTCTAAAAAGCTCAAATATAGTCACTTTTACAATACTCTACAGTGTTAGAGGAGAGGACAGTTGAACTGTTTGTCATCGTGGACATTGCTAAGCACCTCTACACACTGGATTTGCTCCTCCCCAAATCCAGAACAAACAGACTCAGAAACTGCTTAGTCCTAAATGGCATGATGGTGGGGGCTGTGGGGGGGGGGGGGCAGAAGATGTACAGGAGGACTGAAACAACCGGACAGTCAACATTACTGAATGTGCAATAGATCACGTGACGTGCAATAACCTGTGTAATGGGCAAATCCTACTGCTAGATTTCATATTTTCCTTTTGTTTTATTTATGTTCATTTTCTATATTTTTATTGTACTTTTTCCTTTTCATATATTACTTGTCAAAGCTGTACAAAGGCAACGCTGTGAGTCGCTCAAGTTTTAACATTAATCCTATTTCCGCCAATGGATCTTAAATGTGTGAAAATAATTCCTCTGCTCTCTGTGACAACCCACTTTAAACATTGGCAATTCAATATAAGCTTTTTTTTTCTTAAAAGGGTGGACATAGCTGTTTTCTGATTCTTATTGGAGACAGTTTATAACACAAAGCACCAGGGCCACAGGGAACAGTACAGTTTGTCCTTGTGACAGAGGCATTTTGAGTGTAATGCCCTGATAGTAGTCAGTCAGTATAATGCCAAGTAAATCAGGTAAAGTCTCAAAGATACAAACATAAAAACACACAGACTAATTTAACCGTCAAGACACGATAAGTTACGTTGACTCAGTCAACCGAATCTATCTAGCTGCTATTAGCTTAGCACTACTCGCCTTTAGTCAATTTTACAGCAGAGGATTGTACTCAAGTGATTTTAACCACTTTAGTGTCTGAAAGAAACAGTGAAAGCTTTCCACAGACCTTGGGTTATATCCAACTGGCTGCGCCCCGCTCCAGGAAGACCTTCCTCTGTTTCTTCAGCTTTAACGGCAGAGTGCAAATCAACCACCACCATGTCCGACATGTCACTGACTATACACGCCATTTTCTGGTTTTCCTGCTCCATGGATGCGCTAAAAAACCAGTCTAATGCAGTTCTTAAAGGTGTTCAAATATTTCCTGATTTACAAACACTAAACTACCAGTAGCATCCACCCTGCTGCTTTCAAAATATCCCGGTCAGCGTTCTCTCTGCCAATCCGGAGCCCGAGCCAATCGTAACTCATAACACTGGGCATGCGCACAATGCTCTCGTATGCATACATATTTCTTCTCCATTTTAAAAAAGTGGAACATACATACAAAAAAGAAAAAATATATATGTTTTTTTTTTGTTACACCAAGAAAAACATAATACTATTAAAATGTTTTATAACAACAAAAATACACCCGGAAGTTAATCTCCGGTGTCAAAAGTTAGAAGTGACGTGTTTCCGGAGGATCTATTTTTCTTCCTGGTTTGATGTAGCGCACTGACTGTGAATGTTAACCTCTTCTCTGGCTACTGATCCTACAGCCAGCAGTCAGGTAAAATATTGCAAAAATAATTTTATTGTCATGTAAGAATCAAGGTTTGCATTCTGTGGATCCAAACGGTGGGAATAAATTGCTAAATGTGTAAGCATTAGTATGCTAGCTGTACTCCCCGCACAATGAACTGAATTGAAGCTGTAGCTGTATCATACACAGCGGTTGTTTATTTTGGTCCATCATGCGGTCGCTGCTTAAACTGTGATTATTAAACAGTGTAGCAATGATATGTAACGCGCCAACTCTGTATTGACTGTATGGAACAATCTGACTTTTCAGAGTTGAGGAAAAAAACATAGCCTGTAGGTTCTGCTAATTTGTCTCGTTGCCTCTTAGCATTTCAATTATACAAATATGTTAGAACTAAACTGCTTTTAGGAACAACTAATTTGTGGACAAATAAGAAAAATCTATATTTAAAAATTAACGTTCTGAAACGACCTATGTTGGAAAGATTAGAAATTAATATTTGTTCTATGTTTGGTGTTCAATGTTTGGCCCATAATAGTTTGGTGTTGACATAAAATGGACCACTGATGGAAAAATTACAGTACATGTTTTTATTTCTGTTTTTATTTATCAGATGTTTTAACTCTCTCTCCTGTCCTCATCAGGTTTCTTGTTCAGTCGAGTCTCAGTGATGTTATGACGATGTCTGATCACAGAAACATCAGAGACCACGAGGATGATGATGATGTGTTAGAGCTCTCAGCCAGCGATGAATCTGAGCCTGAAGAAGCACCAAGAGAGGCTCCGTTTGACCCAGAGCTGGATCACAGCGATGAAGACGGGGAGGCGATGACCTCTGCTTCACCTTCTGCTCCCGCAGCACAGAGTTCTTTCAGCCTGAGCGGAGCGAGTTCAGGCTTCTCATTCCGCAGCCGCAGCATCTTTGACTGCCTGGACAGTGTAGAGAAGCGCTCTGTCACCCCGCGGAACCAAGGGAACTCAGCAGAAAGCAGGAAGACGAGCCATCCTCCTTCCACTTCTCCCATACCACAGAAAAAGAAAGGCGTTCCAGACTATCTGGTGCACCCCGAACGATGGACACGCTACAGCCTGGAGGATGTGGCTGAGAGCAGCGATCAAGATAACAGGAGAGCAGCTCACCAGTTCCTATCTAGTCTGCATCAGGAGACAAAAAGTGATCTTCGCTGTGACGTCCAGGAGAGGATGATCTTCTCCAGACCAAAGCGGCTCTCGAAAGAGCAGGTGGCTGTGCAGTTGCCACCTGATCTGCAGGGAAAGGAGAAGGAGTTACAGCTGAGTCACCTGGCTGAGGAGGATGAGGATAATGAAGGTAGAGAAAGAGCGGAGGTTGGAGATACAACAGAAAAATCAAAACATGGAAAGAAAAATACAGAGAAAAGCATGGGTGAACCTGTGGCTCTGGAAGAGGAGAAGTTAGGTGAGTCCAAGGTTAACTTCACCTCCTTCAGGAAGACTACGGCAAAGAACTACAGAAGAAATTCTGGAGAAAAAGAGGACTGACTCTGAATGGATGCAATACTAAAGGTTTTCTGACCTGTCAGACAGCAGTACTCCCTCTGCACAGAACTTCCATTTCATCCATTCATTTCTTGGGTGGGACACGCATGATGGATTCATGAGATGATTTTACATTATTTAGAGGAAAACTAAGAATCCTCATTTCTTGTTTTTACAAATGAAGTAAAGCGATAAGAAACTTCATTGTTTTAAGCATCTGTAATTGGTGTAGAGTAATTCCAGCCAGATTTGACCTGTCCTTGTCCTAGTCCTAGTACTTAGAAAAAAGATTTAAAATGGGTTTTTTTCAAAGTAGAATAAAAGTTTCTAAATTTTTTTTCTACAAGTTTCTACATCAATAAAAATAAAAGTTTTCCACAAGCTGTGTTTTAAAAAGAAAATCTGTTTAGTGTACAACAACTCAGTTCAAGTTTGAGAAAAAAAATGTGTCTAAAATGGAGCCCAGATTTAGTAGAATGGTGTGAAAGCACATAGAATGTAAGGAATCAGGTATCAACACCAGAACTGCTGCCAGATGTAGTTTACAGTCATGTTGCCTCACAGGTTTTACAAATCATTCACATCTCCTGTCAGCATATGAGCTTTTCCCTGCAGATTGCCCAGAATGCTTCCAGTGAAAATGTTTGAGAGGCTTCTTCAATGCTCAGTTAACTGAGAGTTATCAGTTTATCATCAGTGTAACTAGGCAACTCAAGAACTACTTCATTTTTTACTCTAAATTAAGACTTAGAGTCTTAAGTCTTGATTTTACAAGATGAAGTTGCGCAAACAGTCCTTCTTAGACAGGGCACCTCAGTATTACATTGTCAGAAGTGAGTTCTCTGATTCTTCCTGCAGCAAAAGTGGGAAAACAGGTTTGGTTATTACTGGTGTTACAAGGGATTTGTTAAATGAACTCCCTCTTATGGGACAGACGGATACCTCACACCCAGGGTGAGCTGCTCTCAACACCTGCCTTTTAAATGTCCACCTGATGCTCCACCAAAACCGCTTCTAGAGATAGAAATGTGAGTGGGAAGACAGACATACCTGGCTGTACAGCATCAGTGAGGATGAATACAAGACGAATTTTAAAATGGATCAGGAGACAAACATGCAGAAGATGGCAGCATCAGTGTCAGAGTTCTTCATCCCCAGTCATCCTCTAAGGCTGATATGATGAAACGTGTTATGACTGAGTCAGTTTTCTATTACTGACTTTTCAATAAGATTGAAAAGTTCATTTATTTCAGTAAATACGTCACTAGGTGAAGCACATTATATGGATCAGTTATACACAGACTGTTTTCCAGCGTTTATTTCTCTTGATGTTTTATTTTGCTTATGACTAATGAAAACACATTTAAAAATTAGACCAAAAACATTTTATTACAGAAATGTGGGCTTAATTAAAAATATGTTTAATATCTGTTGTTCTTTTTAAAAGGTACTTTTACTCAAATGAGATTCATTTAAATTCTATTTTTTAATTTAATGAATATGACAGGTACTTAAAAAAAGAAGTGATGTACATGTCTAATTTGGTTGTTGCAGGCCCAACCAACTGAACAAATATAGCCTGACAGCCTGATATTTCTATTTAAATATCCTTTTTTATTTAAATGTTATGTAATGTTATTTTTTTTTTCAATGAGGGTTTTTTGTTATGAGTTATATTCATCAAAATGACAAGAAAGAAAGCCTTGAAACATTTCAATGTTTGAATAATGGAACACTTTCTGAAATGAGTGACTGAATTACTAAAATAAAGAAAAAAACAATATATCTTAATTTCTAGAGATACATCTGTATTTTAAGACTGTTTCAAATTCAGCACTGGGATGGAGTGATACCAAGAATGAGGTTCTAGATCAATCACTGATGATTCTAAAGTAAAGTCTCAGTGCTTCATAGAGTCTAAAAGGTAACTGGACGGCACAAGTGAAGCCATTTTTTCCCATAAACTTTAAATATTTAATGCCAGATCTTTTAGAATAGGTTGGTCTTGTAATTATTGATCAGTTTACATTAGGTCTCTTCAAAAGTGATTTGATCACTGCAGTTTTCAGGGCAGCTGGAAAAAATCCACAAAGGAGGGTAAATATTTACTATCTGGGCAAGGTTGAGAAAAATAGTGTGTAAGAAACTTATTGTGGTAATTTAGTTTTATTCTACTGTTACAAAGAATCTCCTATAGAAGGGGAATTTTGTTCAAGTTTTCCTTACTTGTTGTGTTTAATGCCTCTGTTCATTTTTTAATATCTATGAGAAAAGTTAATATTTCCATGTAAAAATCCAAAGGTTTCAATAATAAAGTAGTTACATCATCTATATGCTGAAGAGGAGTTAAGTGTCAGAATAACAGCTGTGTTCCACAATGTATCTGTTTCTGTCTAATGTTTGCATATCACTGGGATTCATATCACTTCCCTTTTCCTTATTTGTTGAGTTTATTACAGAAGCTGTAAAAGGGAAGGATATTCTGCTCTTGACAGTCCAGGATCTGTCTCAGTGTAAACATGTGCTGAAAGAGCTTTTAAAGTGATATATTTGTTTTATACTGTAACTATTTATAAAACTATAGTAGTCTGCTGTGTTGTGACAAAGAAGCTAAGCTTATTTACTCATTGCAGTGCTCTGGATTTCTGGCTTTTTATTTAATGTATAGTTCCTTTTAAATCTTTTCCTTGTAATTTTTCTGGTTATTGAAAATTACCATTTTGGGTAGTTATTAATTATGCTATGATTAAAAAAAAACTCTCCAAGTTAGACTTCACCGGTAACTGATGAGCCAGCACTGGTAAATTATGAGGAGACTGCTCACTTGAGTTAGCTTTGAACATGCTGGTTTCTAGCATGCGGGGGACGGTCACCCACTGGATTACCTACTTTCCCTGCTGTTCATTACCATGGATAAGATAGTGTTAGCATTGAAGAGACTTTCAATGCATGTGTTGCCTTGATAGAATTTACTGTAATCCAACCTCATATCAGGTATTAACATATGTACACAAGTTGAAGTTCTCTGACTCTGAGAAAACATTTTGTTGGAAGTATAATTAATGTTAAATAAGAATTTTACAAATTATAAACTGGATTTCAAGTATTCAGCTTTTAGTGAGGAATAATGTAGTTTGTAGAGTATAAGTATTGAAGTTTTTAGACTAGAACAGATTAAAGCCCTTTAGCAATTTCTTGAACCCTCACAGACTCTTAACTGGATTGAGATCTGGACTCTGATTTTCATGTCTAATAGGTTTGTGACTAACCTGAAGATGTGATTTGGGTCATAATCTGAAATTATGACCCAAATCACATCTTTGGGTTATTTTAACATTACCCTGTTAAAATAACTCAGAAATAATCCAAATAGCCTGGACGTATTTTTTTTCTTTTGTTTCTTCTTACGGGAAGTTTCTGTTTATATCAGATGGAAATAGATGGAAAGCTATTCTTTTCTTTTAAAAAAAGAAAAGAAAAGAAAACCCAGGTAAAGTGAGACTTGCAGCAGACTTTAAAATTCTTTAAAATTAAAACACACTATCCTTTTTTTTATAAACCCCTGAACACAAATGAAGTTCCCAGTTCCAGAAGCAGCAAAACAGTCACACAACATGATTGTCCCACCACAAGTTTTTCTGTGTTTAACTGGTTTCAGGGTTGAAGGTCGCTCCCTCCCCAAAACAAAAGCAAGCTCTTTGTGCTCAAAGAGCTTGATACTAGTCTAATCAGACCAAAGAACAGTTTTCCAGAACACATCACCATGTTTCAAATGTTTACGGACAAACTTTAGTCAAACACTGATGAACTGCTGTTTCAGCAATGGAGTTTTTTTGGATGGTACCTTCAAATCCTCCATGATGAAGAGCTCTCATAATGTCTTCCTTGTCATATCAAATCCACAACAGGCCAGCTGAACAGCAATCATCTTGGCAATGACTCAGGGATCTTGTTAATATCTCTAATTACTTTTCTCTCCAAAGTTGTTGAAATCTTGAGCTTGCAGCTACATCCAGGCTTATTTGCAGCAGTTAACCTGAAGCTCATCGAGGCTGCTTTGTGGAGTGGCTGATAAGACACAGGGTTGCCAGCTCTTTCTCTACACAACTGTGGTAAACTGTTTTTTCTATGGAACATCATTTATGTCATGTCTGTAACTGTCTGACTCTTACAAAACATAAGTAAACTGATGCAGAAAACATAAAATGTTTTTTCTCAGAATTAAGACAAAATTATCATTGAGCACATCATTATCAAGACATTTCAACCATAAAACCATGAAAGGCATGCTTCAAGACTAAAAACGGTTTAAATGTCAAACAGAATAATAGATTGTAATAACTACATGCTCCAGAATTTGATGTTTCTAGTTTTAAAGAGGAGACTTGCCTTGTAAATATGTCAGTGATTCAGTCTACAGGCAGAAATAGACAGCCATTCAAACTGAGCATATAATGAAAGATGCTGAGTTTGACCTTAAAACTTATAGATGAAACTAAGTGTGCTATTCAGGAAGAGGTTGCCACACTATAACACAGAAATAAAGGTCACATCAACCTTTCTCTGCTCTGCATCAAAAGAAAAGCAAGATGTGCTCTTAAAATTAAAGCCCAAAATCACTTTCAGCCTTTTTTTTATTTTATTTATTTATTTTTTTTACAACTAGCTCTCTATGAAATTTAAAAGAGACTATTTGAGTACAATGCCCTATAGGGTACTGATAATGATCTACAAATTTAATGTTTTTGAAAAGTAATTTAAAGAGTCTTGAAAAGTAATAACATGGCAAATTCTCTAACTTTAGATCTGCACTGGAAAACATAATGAGGTCTCTGTTCAAAAACATATTTTTCATCACAGTGGATTGTAAAATATATAAAGCTTGTTTTTATTTGAAGAATGCCTATGGAGACAGAACCATATATCATTGTACTCTCTAATGCCTATTTCAGTAATAGGCATTAGAGACATTTTGACAAAAAAAGCATTTATATCTAATTGTGGAGGTTCCCCCTTATTTGCTTTGCTAAATCCATGTGGTGACTTTTATTTTGGTCAGACACATTATTTACTACATTCTTTTGTTTGTTTTTGTAGTATTTTCTTTTTATGTAGAAATAAAACTGTAGCAAAAAAAAGAGCTACAGTTGAAAAACAGTAAAATAGCTTACAATTTAAGTCTTTCAATTTAGTTCAGTGCATGTACAGTTTTACAATCCACTAAGCAGCAGTGACACTCGGGACCGGTGAGGCACTCCAGTATCAGAAATTGTCTCAATTATTAAATAAAAAAAAAAATGAAAGAGTTTACTGGGTTTCAGAAAAAAATATACTTTTTTTATTTTTCTTGTCAACCAAGGTGACGATTGAATCAATACAATGTGTCAAAATCAAATGTTAAGGCAACGAAACCAGAGAACCGGTTCACCCACTTGTTACTATGTTCATTCTGGTATGACTGAGCCTAACTTATTTTTGAAACTCCTGAAATTCCTCTCACGTCATTTGTTTTGAACCCCGGCCTCTATCAAAACATCACGACATTACTGTTCCGCTTTCAGCTAAACTTGACTTTATCTCTCGTGCACGTAAGGAACGACCCACCTCCACACCTCACACGCGCTCAGAGCTGCATTTACCTGGCTATAGGTATGCGGAAGTGAGGGGGAGAACCAGCCTGGAGGCTTTCCAGGTTGTTTCTCTTTTCCTCGGAGTCGGGGTGTGTGTTGGTCATGGAAAGACGTCCATGGAACTGAAACTACCGCTGCTGCTGAGGGTGAAGAACGGTTTTACCTGCTGAGCTTCAAGTTAAATAAATTACAGCATGTACTTCAAGAATACCGAGGTAAAAAGATTCTCCTGAGATTCAACCTTTCTTTTTGTTCAACGGCACACACAGTCCTGCCTCCTGTCCAAAGAGTGAGCTGTAAGTAACTCATGTTAAAGTAACCAAGGTGGTTTACAGTCCGGGTTTTCTGCAACTGTTCTTTGTACCGACTGGGACTTAGTTTACAAACAAGTTGATGTTTCTAAGCATCAACCTGTTTAAGTTAGTTGGGTTTTATATTGTTGGATTTAAATAACCAGCCAGAGAACAAATAGTCATTTTTAACGTCTTGTCAAATACAGAATTTGAGAAAATGTCCCGTTGTCTATGCGTTCATTTAAAGAGGCCCTTGTAATATTACCTACTTCTAATGTATTGATACTGTTGTCCCAGTAAAGTTAAAAAATAAATGTTTTCAGATGTTTTTTGTTTAAAGAGACAAAATTGTGATGTACTTGTGAGATAGTTTTTGCTTTTAAAATTATATCGCTATCAGCACTCAGTCCTATAAACATGGCATGTTTGGTATCTTTCTTAAATTATCCCTTATATGCGTCTTTGCTGAAGACACATATAAGAGATATACAGCTTGTTTACATATATATATATATATATATATATATATATATATATATAT